TGTCTGCTTCTGTCTCTTGAGTGCTTGGATTAAAGGCATGAACCATCAGTGCTTGGCCAGGTGAACTGTTTTTTTGAGACAGGGTTTTGCTTTGAAGTCAGGGATGGCCTTGAATTTGTTTGCAGCCCCAGGTGGCCTTGAACTCCCCATCCTCCTGCCTCTGCCTGCTGTGTCCAGGGATTGTAGGTGTGCTCCATCATGCCTGTTCTAGTCTCTGTTCTTGCAGAACCTAGAATACCTTCTTTCTGTAGGAGAAAGCAGGGTCAGGGTAACGCTGGTTGAGGACAGGCTTGCACACAGGGAAGAATGGGGCATCTGGGGTGAGCAGCAGCAGCTGCAGGGGTGCTCTGGGCTTTGGCCTGGACCAAGGAGAGAGAGACTTTTTTCTCTGGAGCTGACCTTGGTCATGTGGACCAGATGTTCTGTGTGTAAACGCATGTAGTCTCAGTACAGAGTTTCTGTTGTGTGTCCTGTGTGCTGTGTCCTTCTCTGCCCTGCTGCCTCATGTCCTTCCTGAGTGCACACCCTCTCCCGTGCACACACCCTCAGGCCGCCTGCGTGCAGTCCAGTGCTGCTCTTCTGGACACTGCCTGCTGAGAGGATAGTGATTGTGTTCCCTGAGGTCTTTCCCTCTCTGCCCTGGCTGAGCTCAAATCTTTAGTTCTGTGAGCTGCATCTCTGCTGGTGGCTGTTGATGAGTGACTGCTGGACAGCATTTCCTCAGATGGGGACACCTGGACTTCGGTTAAGGGATGTTGTCAGGTTTCTGCCCAGTTACAAACCTGCCCTTGGCACTGCGGACTACCTGTCTCCTGTGTGCATGCCTGTCCCTGTGGAAGACAGGACTGCCTTGAACGTGTTTTGCCAAGTAGGAGGATTTAGAGGTGTGGGCGTGTGTTCTCTCAGTGTTACTATTCAGTTGCTTCCTAAAGTGGCAGTGCCAGCTCTGGCCCCCAGCGCCAGGGTGCGAATGCTTACTGCCTTGCATTCTTGCCAAGCTGGTGGGTGTGAAACAGTGTTGTGGTTTTAGTTTGAATTTCTCTGATTATGAATCTAGACTGTTTGTACTTCCTTGTTAGTGAAATTCCTACTCATGCCTTTTGCCAATTTTTCTTTCTCTTCTCCCTACTTGAATGTCAGCAGTTTCTACAGGGGATAGTAATCTTTTCCCACTTCTAACTGTTGGGATGCCCCCCTTCAATTACATGTGTCCCTCAGAATTGGCCTGGAGTGTGGGGCTGCTGGGGTTGGGGTGGAATCTATCCCCCTCACTGTGACATTGGTTGAGTTTCAGTTCTCCTTCCTTCCCTGGGAGGTGGTGAGACAGCTCTCTGTCCTGGGGGAAGCTGGGTGCTAGGCACCCCGGGGCTGCTGGGATGAAGGATCCAACTCCTGATACTCAGTGCTGTTCCAGCCATGTTGCCAAGTTCACTTTGCTTCAACAGCCTGGTACACCATGCTGCTAGGGACAGCCAGTGTCCTGCCCCTGCCGTCTGTCCTGCTGGGATTCCAGAGTCCTTACCCACTCCCGGGCATTTCTCCATCCACTGCTCCGTGGGGTCTTTACTACTTTGGACCTTTGTGCTTCCACCTGGATTCTTTTCTTGTTGAGTCTGTTGACCTGCGTCTGAGCTTTGTGCACCTGGTGCTTTTCCTCGCCTCTCCTGACTTCATGCGCCGGCTCACTCGAGGAAGGGTCTCTTGGTGTCTGGACAGCACTTTCTGTCCGGAGTGTACACTGCTGTAGACTTGTGTTTGTGGAAGGCACAGACGTCTCTGTCATTCCAGCAAGGAGCCCCCGTCCTCCTTTGTCATCCCTGACCCTGCCAGCTCTGCCTTTCCAGGCAGCGTCATCTCCCCAGAGGGCCACGGGGTAGAGTGAGGCTGTCTTTGATGCATCCGTGCTTTTTTTTGTCAGCCGACTCCTTGTTGTTGTTAAGTAATACTCCCTTGTAAGAACAAACCCCTGTTTAGACATTGGATTCTCTCTGTAGTTTGAGGCTGTCATTTGGTGATTATTGGCATAGGGCTTCAGTTTAAGAAATACTCTCCTGCTGGTCCTGGACAGTGTGGTAAACTTTCCTTAGACTCTCCTTGGGAATGGGTGATGTCAAGGTTTTCCCATGAGCTGTCCCAAGTCTGAAGTGTGGCTTGCCTCCTGGTGTTTACTGGGAAGGGTCTGTTTTCCTCGCGGAGTTGAGGAGCCCTCTGGGCAGCAGAAGTGGATGTTCTTTGCTGGTGTTTCCGCTCTGCTTGATGGGTCTGCTTTGTGATCTCACTTGAGACTGGTCTCACATGGTGCTGCCCAGACTGGCCTCCCAACGCTGGAGCTCAAGTGAGCCTCCCAAGTGGCTGGGACCACAGATGGGTCTGTGTGTCGACCTCTACTGGTTTTGGATGAGCAGGAGTTTTGATTTTTGTGAAGCCCACTGTGTTAGTTGCTTCTGTGTCTGACTTAGAGATCTCAAGGTTACGAGTGTGCTTTATGTCTGGCTTTGCGGCCCACTGGGTTAATTGTGACTGTGGTGACAGAAAAGCTTTGAAATGCCCGTGCAGTCAGTCTCCTGAGCTGCATGTGGTTGTCAGACACTGGGCCACAAGCTTCTTCTCAGGCATGTGTCTTGCTTTGGCTGAGGCCCCTGATGCACCCTGAGGAATGTGTGGGTTCTGCTGACAAGCATGTGTGTCTGTGTCACACACATTCCTCAGGGTTCATGTTGTGGGCACATGAAAAGAAAGTCATCTTTTGTTGCCCCAGTTTAAGGTGAGGGTGCAGCCTTCCACTCTCCCAGCGGTCCTGGACGGTGTGATGACTTCCCCTTAGACTCTTGTTGGGGATTTGTGGTGTGGAGGATTTTCCTATGAGCCGTATATCTGGCACCCAACTTACATTGTTGGTCTGGGCCCTAAACTGGCATTTTAAATTTTTTTGGTTTTATTTATTTATTTGGGGGGGGCGGGTGTTTGAGACACCTCTCCTGGCACTGGCTTTGTAGACCAGGCTGGCCTCAAACTCATACAAATTCGCCTGCCTCTGCCTCCCAAGTTGCTAGCACTAGAGGCGTGCACCACCACTGCATGCCTTTTTGTTTTTGTTTTTTATTTTTAAAGATTTTATTTATTTATTACGTATACAGCATTCTGCTTCCATGTATATGTGCACACCAGAAGAGGGCACCAGATCTCATAACGGATGGTGTGAGCCACCATGTGGTTGCTGGGAATTGAACTCAGGACCTCTGGAAGAGCAGCCGGTGCTCTTAACCTCTGAGCCATCTCTCCAGCCCGCTGCCTTTTTGTTTTTTAAGTCAGGGTTTCACTATGTAGTCCTGGCTGATGTTGAACTCAGAGATCCACCTGCCTCTACTTCCTGAGTGCTGGGATTAAAGGTGTGTACCACCACTGCCAGGCCTCGTGTCTTTGTAGCTCAGACTGAATTCCACCTTGTGCTCCTCTTGCCTCAGCCTCCTAAGTTTTAGGAGTATGAAAATGAGCCACAATGCCCATTGTGACCATCGTGAGAGTGCTGTCTGCTGTAGTCTTTGAAGAGGCAGTTGGGAAAGTTAAGAGTCTCACTCTAGTATGGGTGAGCATGGCTTTTCAAAACGTTAACATTTGTTGGGGGGAGGTTGAGATGGTTGGGTGGTAGCTGGGATGGTGAGAAGCAGGATGGTTCCGCAGTGTCACACCTGGTGACCTGAGTTCCATCCGCAGGAGGAAACAGATTGTCCTCCTCTGCGTGTACACTGTGGAACATGGCCCCCAAATAAATTTATATTTGCCAGGCGTTAAGTTTACTCACTTGAATACTCTCTACCCCACTGTCTGCCTTTTTCTCATCTTCTTTTATTTGTAATGGGCTTTGGGTTGAATCCTGGGCCTCGCTTTTCCCAGGCAGTTACTCTTCCGCTGAGCTGTTCCCCAGCACAGATGATTTTTTTCTTTTTTAGTTTAGTTTTTTTTTTTTTTTTTTTTTTTTTTTTTTTTTTGAGAGAGAGAGGGTTTCTCTGTGAAGCCCTGGCTGTTCTAGAACTTACTCTGTAGCCCGGGCTGTCCTGGAGCTCACAGAGATCCCCCTATAACCATCCCCTTTCTTTAAATTGTCACCTAGCCTTCTGTATGGGTTATAACTGGTTATTCAGTGTGTGTTTGGATTTAGTAGTCATCCAACCCGACATCCTGATTTATTTATTTTTTAGTTTTCCGAGACAGGGTTTCTCTGTGACTTTGGAGGCTGTCCTGGAACTTGCTCTGTAGACTAGGCTGGTCTTGAAACCACAGAGATCTGCCTGCCTCTGCCTCCCAAGTGCTGGGATTAAAGGCGTGCACCACCAATGCCCTCCTGGCCTCTTATGTATTTTTAGTGAGTCATCGCGTCTGTATTTATCTCAGTTGGCGGTACTGTATTCGTGTCTGTTCTATTTTTGTGCTTTAATTCATCCTGTACTTTTTCCTTTTGTCTCACCTTAATTTTGCATTGAATGTCCCCTCCCTCGT